ACTAACTAACACCAAGTCCTTGTGAACAGGTGCGGATCTAGGGCTTCACCATCAGAGTCGAAGTTCATGAGAAAAGCAAAAAAGGAGTCCAAGGCCACGTAATTGTTAATGGACAGCATAGCAAGAACGAAGCCATATTTATCAAGGTGAAAAGCAGTAATTGTGGTTAGAACAGTACAAAGAGCATCCATCAGCTTGGACACAAATTCTCTACCCACAGATTGACCTTTGGATATGGGTAGGAACTCGTTACATCTTCTTATTTCTTAACTTATTTGACTGGATTTTATTTTGTGCAACCGCAAATCGTTCTGGCACCGAATAATTATTGATTATTAGGGATTCTTCCTTTTTTATAAACCTATTCCAGATGCATATATCTTCTTCTCCCCACCACGATGTCCGCTGTACAGGGTGGCTACTAAATATTGGCGCATGGATTGTTGACCATATTTTTAAAACGAGAAGCTATTACATCTTCAGAGGTTTATCTTTATATACCTTATAACATGGCAGTACATTGCTAAAGAAAGTGCTCGAAATGGCCTCCTTCGGCAGCGATACAGGCTTCAAGTCTCTTCTCAACTGACATCACTGTGGGCCGCAAGTAGCTGACGTCAAGCTCCTTCCACGCCTCCTCCAAGGAAGCCTTCAGGGAGTCCAAACTTCGACGTTGCTCAGAAGGCATCTTCTGCTTCAAGAAGCCCCACACCGCCAAATCAATTGGTTCAAATCGGGCGACTTAGATGGCCAAACATTTTGTGCCCGGTAACTTGGAAAATGACGGTCACAGTTCTCCAACATTGATTTTGCGGCATGTGGAGGCGCCCTGTCTTGCTGAAGAATGCAATGACGTTCGCTGAAGGTCAAAAGAGTCCTTGGAAGAAGGGCATTACGTGAAAATTGTTTCCGGGTAGATCTGGGCGCTGGCTTTGATGTATTCATCCACAAAGACAAGCGGTGTCATGGTTTCAGAAGTAATTCCTGCCCAAACCATGACAAATTTGAAAAACGGTTCCTTGTGTGTACACAAGGTCGAGCAGAATGTCTGCTAGCCAGATCCAACAACTGCCTGTCGTTTTGCAAATCGTGCGCCACTTCTGGTCTGAAGATCTACTCACGTCACGCCGACGTCAGCTACTTGCGGCCCACGGTGATGTCAGTTGAAAAGAGACTTCAAGCCTGTATCGCTACCAAAGGAGGCCATCTCGAGCACTTTCTTTGGTAATGAATTTTCATGTTTTATTGTATATGAAAATAAACTTCTGAAGATATGATAGCTTCTCTTTTTGGAAATATGATAAAAACGCGGGGGTGATATGGGGGGGCGCAATATTTAGATGGAGAGGGGGGCGGTACGGCGGGTGGTGGCGGTCGATAAGAAGCGGTTGACATTGTCATATCAAAGAATATCCTGCCGTGCTTTGATGGCAAAACGGCGTCCTTTATCGAAGGACCATCTTCTGAATTTTCAACTTCCGGCAGGGTTATGCGTGGAGATGGGCAACCAGCTTGACAGACAAATAAGAACAGAGAAAGAGTGAGAGATAGCAGATAAGGTGACTCATTATGAAAGCAATAAACACAATGAACAAAAACAACAATAATTGGAAGAACAAAAACAAAACAAAGGCGTCACCGCTGTTTCACGGGTCTTCAGATTGCACGAGCTAGGTCGGATTGACTAGAGTAACAACAAATGCACGACCGGCTCTAACGTCCTCCGTATTTCTGGTGCAGGCGGCTGTCCGGGGGGGGATAGTGGGTGAGGAGTGGTGGCTAAGCCTGCCAGTCAGGTTACGTAGCCAAGGTAGCAGCTGCCTTCATGGGTTCCATAGCAAGAGCCGGTAAGAACAGACGAAAAAAGTAATGGCCAGGCAGTGAGAGCGACGATGATGCAGGAGGCGGGTATCGGATGCTAACAACGATTACTTAGAGTTCGTTTGAAGAGAATCCGCACAGAACCTCCGACTGAAAGCCGTCTTGTGAACTATTCATTCCTAGCGGGTTTGACCTTTTGCAACTATTATATAAAGGGAGGTTGGAGGGTCAAAAAGTCATAGCAGGAATTTTCGCAAAAAGTGTTTCAAGCGTTTAAAGTGTCGTCTGCCCTGTTTCTATGGAAACAAACCCCCGAGCGGATTGTAAAATAAGATAGATAACCGCGGCAGATGGCGAGCTCAACGGTTTAGCAGCGGTAATGTTCCGCTGCTTTTCACAGGGACTGTACGAAAAGGCACCATGATCGTTTGAGTGATTCCATTAGGTCTAAGCGAACTATTACAGTGTTCAAATTAAGCATTCCAAAATTACGGCGAAATAGGCCTAAAACGGTAATATAAGTCCTCGGTGTGACTGGTATCGCACAACGCGCCATGCTCGAGTTCAACGAGTCACACGACCCCGTCACACCCTCGTTTTCCTACTACAACCTTTCGGAAATCTATACAGATCCTATAATAACAATTAACTCCGTGATGATGAAGGATTCCGCCAGCTCATCGGTCCCAAATAGCCACTATCAGATATTACAAGCGGTGGAAGCAAAAGCATCCTTCGACAATGAGGTGTGTTGAGCAAAGTTC